TAGATGGGCAGATGCATGTCTTCCATATGTGTAGCAATGCACTGGCATTGATCAAGAACTTGACAGACACGGACATGGCAAGTCAGGGTTACCCATCAGGGCGGCAACTTGAGGAGCAAGACGAAACAGAATGGCCTGAATGGTTGTCGGCGGGAGACAGGAGACTGCTGCAGGCGCCAACAGTTACCCCTGATGTAACCGTGGCCGCTGATGGCAGCGGTGACTTCCGCACGGTGTCGGAGGCGGTGGCGGCTGCACCGGAGAGAAGCACCAGGAGATACATTATAAAGATTAACGCTGGAGTGTATACGGAAAATGTGGATGTCCCTACGAGGAAGACCAATCTCATGTTTGTGGGAGATGGGAGGGTTAATACCATCATCACTGCTAGCAGAAATGTTGTTGACGGCAGCACCACTTTCAACTCTGCCACTGTGGGTGAGTAATGATTTTGAAATTTATGCCATTTCAGTTTAAATTCTTTTCTCAGATTTTCAATGCGAATTATTTAGGAGTACTAAAACTAAATTTCAATAATTTGCAATTTTTCATAGGAGGGGGACACAGAGAGTGGAAAATGGAGTATTTGATGCTGCTTTTTATATAGGCTAGGCGAAAACTTTAGGTCATCTTAGATTTTTTTTTTAAAAGAAGCAATTTTTCATTTTTTTTAGAGTTATTTCCTAGCTTCTAAGAAACTACAAGTAATCAAGTATTTGTGGAAGTGAACTTTGAAGCGATCTGTCTTTGGCTAAAAAAGGAATTGTTCAATATTTTTAACGAGTCCACCAATTCAATCTTGGACGGCCGCTGTCTGAAGCTAACTCTTAGATAAATAAAACTGAAGCCTGGTCCTTGAGAAAATGAAAGATTATTAAATTCTCAACTACTTAGATCTCAAAATCTCCATCACAACGGAACATACAGGGCCTGGATGCTCTACATTGTTACTTCGGTGCCCTCTGTTGTGGTCAATTGCTAGCTGGTTGACAATAATATCTGTCAGAAATTCAATAGTAAATTTTCAGATTGACGTGACGTCTGTCGCGTGGGATCTGGATAACCGGATAAATTCTAGCAGACAGACAAGTAAATCGTGTTTTTCACACATTGAAAAGTCAGCTATTTTTGTTAGGACTGTGCGGTGGCATCGCAACCGTATGTTATTATAATCTACGGTTATTTTTGTAACTGTCGATTGTTCTGATCGACCTTATCGATTGATCGATTCGGTTGTTAGAGAGATTTTTTTTTTCGAATCAATTAAAAAATTGATGAATTATTTTTATTTAAAGATAAAATTACCCTTTATCTATTTTTACTTAATTTTTCTT